AGCCACCCCTACCGCATCGTGGCTTCGAAAGCACCCCTGGCTCAATGGTGTACGCAGACGTGCTATCTATAGAGATACGTCTATCTAGACCAGAACCTTCGGGTAGACGTTTTACGAGCAAGAGCGCTCTCCGTTGCTCGTGAGCACTGCACGAACAAAGCGAAGAGCAAGTGACGTCGACGGTTGTGAATGGAGTGGGGAGCAACGCTAGTGGTGGGAGTGTAGGCTCATAGATAGGCATGTTTGGTACTTTCGTAAGGCATTTCGTACGATCGTTGCTGCTTTTTCAGGCAGGGCGAACACTACTGCATTCGTATAGTGGCCCCACCAAAGAATTGTTGCTCGAGTCGGCGTACCTTACTGCTCGAATATCGCTCAGTACTCGAGCTTGTTGAGCATTTCACATAGAGCAACTTTGAGATCATCGGTTCTGATTTAAAGTGTTCATCACTCAAACGATTAGCTACATAATTCGTGATCATCGAATCTTGTCAAACCCAGTCTGTCACGCGATTACAATTTTCTCGAATTTGAGGCTAGAGCGTGGTTTTATACGCGTAAGAGAACAAAGACGATCAAGTGCATTGGAGGACCGTATGTGCGCCGGCGTACGATGCCGTCCTGACGTAATAACGTTACGTCAGAACGTAGCTCGTGGCACGCAAGAGGGATAGTACGCGTGGGTGTGCTGGAAAGGAAGATAGGAAGAAGTAGAGTGGGGGTGGAACGTCAATAGGAGAATCTTTCGCGCGTCGGTAGGTGGGGATAGCTTAGGGGTGAAGTGAGCGTAGGGGCGAGCACTTGGGGTGGTGGAACCAGGATCGTAGTTACAGGGTGTACCTAGCGAGTGTCCCTTTTAAAATTCGTTTCGAATTTTTTCCTTTTTTAAAATGCACTTTAATTTTCGGAAATGTTTAAGTACTTCATATAACATTGTTAAAAAATCTTTTCGAATAGAAGTTTGGCCTTTCCTTAGACAAATTTGAGGTTGAAATTGAAGTTAAAACGCGGCAAGTCGCATCGATCGATTTAACTTGGAAACTTGGAAAAAAATTTTTTCAGAATAATTGTAATATTTTAACTTAAAAAATGTAAAATAGGTGATGTTTAATTGGACTGTTCCTTTAACATAGTTGAATTGTGAATTTGTTGTTTTTATGGGGCCCCTCTGTCATATGCCCTTAGCTTTCACCGTGGCTACGTGACTGGTGAGAACGTCACGCTAGGGGTAAAAGCTGGCACAGGACGGTTCGGTTACGTTCGCATACATAGCTTTCGGAGTGCCCGACTGAGAAGCCTCCGGGCTCAAATAATTCAATGCATTTACTATAATTATCACGCTGAAATCTATCGATCGGCCGACGCTTCGCTTCCTTTTACGTCCTACGTTCAAAACATTGTATCATGCTTTACTAAATGTACCACCCCTTTACCCTGAATAAAAATCTACCAATAATATCTTTCATTTAAAATTCGAATTATAACCTTTATTATATCAGATGCATTCCATAAATTTAAGTGAAATAATTTTTATATCATGTATAAATTATTGAAATTATATTCTTAAGGTGTATCGAGTACTACAGTATTCCAATATATAATTCAAGAGTGGTGTAGGGTACCGTTGTTTCAAATGCTGTCAAATTTCATTTTGGAACAAGGTGCACCTGCTATGAAGCCCCTTCTGGCAACATCAGTTAGCTTCGTTTCTGGATCAAAACAAGTCCTGTCCATCTAACCAAACCAAGCAGACAAACACGGTCTGAATCTGAGCCGATTTCGAAGTTGCTCTATGTGAAGTGCTCAAACGAACTCGAGCACGGAAAGATATTTGAGCAGTTAGCTACGCCGATTCGAACTACGGTTATTTGGTGGGGCACTATATGAATGCAGTAGTGATCGGCCGTCCTAGAAAAAACATAGTGATCGTACGTGCTGAAAAAAGTAACCGATGATACGAAATGCCTCACGAATGTACCAACATATCTACCTACGAGCCTACACTCTCACCACTAGTGTTGCTCCCTAATCCATTCATAACTGTCGACGACACTTGCTATTCGCTTTACTTGTAGCAGTGCTCCTGAACAATGAAGAGCACTCTTGCTCGTAAAACGAGCGGCTTTGCTCTAAATTATCACTATAGTTAACAACACATTCGTTTATCGCATGTTATGCGAGACACCGTTAAACTATATCACGTATGTTTAAACCAATCTTTTATGCTTCCTATCATGTAAAATTAGGCAAAATAGGTAAAACATTTATTCGATTAACAAACGTAACTCTTGAATTTCCCGCTTAAAATGGGTACCAAACATCTTTACTATACAATTTTTCTAGACTTCCTAATAATTTCAAAATTATTACAGTTTCGTCGTAACTTACGATGAATTGAAACTAAAATTATAAAATTCGAATGACTTACCATTTATCGAAGACTTAAAGTACAGTGAAGATGAATAGATTCCAAAAAGAATTTTTCGCATAGCGAAATAATCACGTTCACAAAACAAACGCAGTCTGCCGAGGCGAATTCGAATTGTCTCGATTCTAACATTCGATTACTTCGACTCTCGAATTCGCTTGCGATTCTTGATTAATCACATACAATTCGATATTCTGATAATCGATTCTAGTAAGAATTTTTTAGTTACTTTCAATGTAATTGTTAATTATTGTAAAAATTGAAATATTTGATTTTGTAATCTAACTTATAATTGTATTGACTTTTCTAAAAATAAAAGAGAAAAATTATTTTGTAAAATGTTCAATCATCGACGTGTATTAATTGAAGTGTTACACATTGCATAACCAAAAACCAAAGAATTAAGTAGAAGAATCATGTTACGAACACCAATAAACAAAAGATTGATCTGCAGTGCCTTTTTTCCATTTAGTTCTTCCTCTGAACATGATTCTGAGAAAAAATATTCATTACAAATTATTCGCAACACAGTCCAAAAGTACAGGTGTTATTTTTATGATGAGTAAGGATAACCATTTAATTCATGCTCTAAAGAAAAATATTTGTTTCCTTTTTATGAGACAAATTATCATATTATCATATTATATATGTTCTGAACAGGGATGGAAATCGAACCAAAGAGCTACAATCAGTATTCAATACAACAACTGCAGGTGTTGCAACAGGATTTATTTTGGGTGCATTATCTACAGTAACGCATACAATAGAGACTTTCAAGAAAGAAAATCAAGCCACCCTGTTTAAAGATAAATTTGAACCCAAAAAGCTACTGCAACAGAAAATAAGTATGAACATGTTAAAAGGAGGGATACCATTTGGAGCAAAACTTGGAATGTTTTGTTTCTTATTCTCGTAAGACACAGAAACATTAAATCTATAATATAATTATACAAATGTGAATTAATGTAACATTCTTCATCAGGAGTATGTCAACATTCTTATATGTATACAAAGGAAAGTTTGATATAATGAATCATACCATTAGTGGTGCTATAACAGGTTTCATATATAAAGTAAATATGGGCTTGAAGGGAGTAATTGCAGGTTCTGTCCTTGGAACTATATTAGGTACTATTTCTGGCTTTATGTCAGTAATCATATTATACATAAGCGGATGTGAGATGGAAGATATGTACACAGCAGGCAACAGATTCATGGTTGCAAGACGACAGTAAGTCCTTAAAATATAATTTCATAATCTTCGAATTAGAAGCTTTATTTATACTGCATATTAGCATTGTGAACTATATTCTGTTTTTTTTAGGAAAATAAAAGAAGGTTCCGAGGCATTGTTGCAAGAGGAACACAAGAAACTACTTAAGCAGATACAGAAGTAAATTAAATATATTCAACAGAGAAGCAAAATAAATAGGAATTTTAAAGATAAAAATTTAATAACGGATTACTATGTTTCATCAACATACATCTATTAATTTTCATAACTATTACATCAAATGTTATGTAACAATATTTATACAGATAGCAATAAATACAAAAAAAGAAAGAAAAATAATTCTGCTTTCTAGTTACATCACAAAAGAAAAAACACGCCTTCTAACCGCGTCTTATATTGTTATAAATTTTTTAATTATATATAATTTGAATAAATAGAAATAACATTTTCATATAACGTAATCAATTATCATTATTAACATTCTCTATTTACATCCTGGTAATACTTTATGTGTAAACAAATGCAATGTAAATGAAACACAATGCATATTGACAAATTTTAGATACAGAATAGGCCTGGTATTCAAACAAAAGCAATGAAATTTTCATTCTAATTTTGCCTTAAAATATGAAAAATGTGTGTATATGTGTGTGTATGTAGGTGTACGCGCATATATAAATAGTTTTTACATTATAAAATGAATAATACTATTGAGTGAAGTGAAAAGCAAGATAAAGCATATTCATGAAGGAGGAACATAACGTACGTACGCGCGCGCGCGCGTGTGTGATGCGCACACATATACATATATCTTATTGGTGCAACTCAACAAATTATAAAAATCTCTTTATTTAAATCTCTTGTTCTGAAGTTCCTAAATCTTGAACCTTGGTTAAACGTTTTGCCCCTCTGCCTGGTGGACCCTTAGGTTTTGCAAATTTTGGCTGATGTAAACTGATTTTTGGATGTAACTCCTCTTGTAAAAATCCTTCAGTTAGTTCCCTTCCATCATCTATTTCAAGCTATATAATCAACATATTTCAAAGGATAATTATTATATTGCATTAAACACCAAAAACACATCATGTGTTTTGTGAATGAAACCCAAAAAGTAAATTTAAAAAATTAAAGCAAAAATCTAGAATTTCATAGGCCTATTCTGTAAGCTGAATATATCTTAAACGTATATCTTAAAATCTTAATTGCAATTACATACCCGTCCAACGATCAAATCACCGTGCACTCCTTAGAAACCTATTAAATTCTCTATGAATAAATCATAACAAATAATAAATATGTATGTATTAGATAATACCTTATTGAAGATTAAAACAACAAACTGTAAGATTAAATTGCATAATACTTTATTGTTTGTAGCGTGTTTAGTATTGGCAAGATATACAATTCATTCAATCATAATGAACCTACAATTATGTACTAACAGGTTGGAAAACAAAATTACACTAAAAACTTACAGAATAGGCCTGGCACAATATATTGTAAATTGAAATATGCCCAGGCTATAGTGTGCATTACATCTAAATATGGAACACATTTCTCTTCATTAACAATTTTTGAGCATTTCGCAAAAAGCTTTTCCTTTTTCTTGTAACTAGTATAGAAACGTGTGCCAAATTCTATGTTTTTTCCATACATGTTAAAGAAATAGAACAAGAGGAACTTAAGTTGGAATAGTTTTTATAAAACTATAAAAAGTAAAAAGCTAATAAATTATGAGTATATCCAGAGATTCTGAGTTTTTGTATATTTTTTAAAAATCTCACACTGCGAGACCAACTTTTGCACTTACGCAAATACAGAGTGCGACCGAATAACATGTACAAGCGGGCACGAGGTGATTCCTTATGAAAAAATAAGAACAAAATATGGAATAAAATTTTTTCATTTAAGGCTTAGTTTTCGAGAAAATCGAGTTTGAATATCCGAACGTACGTATGCTGTTACAGCTAAGTTACGGTTCATCGAGCCGTTGTTCCTTAAAAGTCTTCTGTGTATTTTTTCTTGAACTCAGTAACTTTTAAATGCTGTGTAGACATTGTTTACAAACACTACACGCGTTATACGTTACTCGATGAACCGTAACTTAGCTGTAACAGCATACGTACGCTCGGATATTCAAACTTGATTTTCTCGAAAACTAAGCCTTAAATGAAAAAATTTTATTCCATATTTTGTTCTTATTTTTTCATAAAGAATCACCTAGTGCCCGCTTGTACATGTTATTCGACCACACCCTGTATATGTCAAAATATATTTGACATCAAATGAAAATTGAACACGTTTTACGTTTTTTATTTATTACAAACTACTGTTCACTGGGATGAAAATAATTTCCAAGAATTTGGCGCACTTCATTACCATTATTAAAATTAGGCCAAACTCTTTAAGTTGTTCATTTGTGTCTTGGACGAAAATTTTTAAAAAGTTTATAAAAAGCTACGAGAGTTAAAAAAATACAGATCACGAAAAATAGAATGCCTCTCAAGTATCTTGTTGCTGGCTATTAGGTTATAGGTCCCATTTGCTATACACTTTATATGAGGAATATATGCAAGAAATCTAAAAATGCAAGATATTTTGAAAGATATTAAGAAATTATCACAACATTCACTACTTCATTTAAATGATTAAATCAAAATTCAATTCTCGTGATAAAGTGATAAAAAACGATAAAATGATTAGAAAATGTTCTACCTGCACGATTTTCCGATTATACAGCCAATGGGACATACCAAGATCAGTCTTCATACATATATTTGTGAAATCTAATGTTCTGTATCATTTACAGTAGTTAACTAGTTTATCACTAGCTTGTTTTCGAAAATGATAATTCTGTGCAAAGAAAATATATCCACAAGTTAGTGTGGTATTTGCACGTATTTATCACTTGTCTGCTATATTTTCTTATTATTTATATTACGCAGAGCAGTTAGGTGAGTGGCAACAGCTAACTAGAGCACATGGAATTTTCCCTAACTCTCTAATAAATCACATAAGGTATGCAGGTTTACCACAGATATTTGTTTGAAACACTCTACACTATAATCACTAATTCCTATACGAGTGTTCGAATGAATTTGAAAGTCAAGCCTTCGAGTTTCACCTAATAAAATTACTAATACAAAAAATGAGACTTAACAATACGAATATCACTTTTCACTTGGACTAGGAACTAATTCACAGAGCCGACTTACTGGATTTTTTTCACCGCTTAGGACGTATAAACATTGAAAGTATAGGAATTATATAAACTATAAAAAAAACATGAATAAAGTTAAAGGAACTATATTGACAAAAATACGAAACTTTCACATGGATTTTCGTGTCTGTTAGACATTGAAACGCAATTAAAAAATATAAAATCCAATGGAAGGCTTCACTTTCAATGTCAAGCAACTGAATCTCACCTCATGTACTTCTTTTATGCTATTCTCTTTACGAATGAACAATTATCCATTACTGCATGGATTCAACAAGAACTGTATCTTCAAATGGAATTCTACATATTGCGAATTTCTCAGTTATATCAAAAGGTATTTTCAATAAGACCTTAACATGACAATTTTGCTTTTTCTTTAAAATTTAGAAAAATACATCGTTTGGTCTACTCTGAATCGCTACATTGGGTATACGTATCACTTTGACCAATTATTTACTAAATATCAATAAATATATCGCTAATTAATAAAAAATGTATCTCTGTAAAAGACGCACATTAAATTTTTTCTTTAAAATTACCTCAAGAACAAGTGTAATTATATATGTGCTAATGAACGAAGTATTGGAAACAAATTACACTGTTTTTTTTTATATACTACGTAACACATTCAAACGTCAATATTGTATTATCACAAATTCAAAATTTACGAAGGAAGAGATATTCAATGTTGTTGCAAAACGTCTGAAATATTTGAACATGTAAGAAACATTTAAGAATAATAATGGCAGACAAAGAGCGTAGAATCGGTTAACTTAAGACACAAGATCGCTTCTGCTTTGATTTTTTCTCAGGTATAGATTGAGGAGGAGCATAAGGCGTTGATGGAGTTGCAGGAGTTATTGCGGCTGTTTCTTTTACGGTTGGAGGATCTTCCAACATGTCTGCCAACTCCGCACCACTATTTACTTCCAACTAGGATTCATCAAATTTTTACAAAAAAAAAAAAAAAAAAAAAAAAAAAAAAAAAAAAACAAAAACAAAAACAAAAGGAAATACTTTAATTTCAATATTAATCCACATTTGGAAAAGAATAAAGTCTAAAAGCAAAAGATACTTCGGAATACAACGAAAAGAAATTAAATAGTTACTAATATTGGTACATATTATGGTACACCACGACGATCTAATACTAATTTTACAGAAAATATACTCCTTACCAATAACAAAAGATGAACAAACAATCCTGTTAAGATGTTCATGCATACACAAAACCAATGGAATAAAGTAAATTAGAAGACATGGTCTATGTTAAGAACTTTTGTCTATCTACTTACTTTTTTCGTTATGGTCACTCCAAGTGATTGAATAAGTTCTAAGAGAGGTGCTTTACATGATGAATACAACATTCTTTCCTTAATACTGCAACTATATCCTGGCATACTATATATAAAAACTGCAACATATATACATGTATAAATATACAATATTGATTGAAATACTGTTACTACTATTTCTGTTACATACCTACACACTCCATATAATCTCCTTCGTGTGTATGCTTAAAATTATAAAGGTGATATCTGCCAGACTTAGCTGGGACGTTTCCTGGTAATTGATCCAGGGAAACATCACAAGCCATGACTAAATGTATTTTTTTTTCCACTAAATCTATCATTAACTGAACATATTCATGTATCCCTTTACCAAGCTCTGCGATAGCTTGCTTTGCCTCGTCCGTTACAGGAAAAGCAACACCACTCAGTGTTTGATGTCTCGTTTCAACACTATAATCTGTACTAACTGTATTTTTCCTAAATTCTGCTAATTCTTCTTCTGCTGTAGTTAAAGGTGCTGGAGCGGCATCATTTCTCTTATACTTATGATACCCTTCTAAAGTGATATCCTCTGGCACTGTACCATGCAATTCATCCTTTATAGATGCTGTACCAAATTCTTGTTTCAAGGTAGCTTTAGTTGACGCATATAACATCTTTTGTCTCACTGGTGCAGTATCAGGTGACCAGGAAATGAACAACCAGTCATAACCAGAATCAGGAGACTTACTATCAAGTCGATAAAGAATATATGCAGGTTGATTTTCAACAATCAGAGGTTTGATCATTTTATCATAATCATCTTGCCACTTGTTTACTGGTTTCGAGGAGGCGGCAGGCGTTAACTCTTCTACATAACAAAGACAACTCAATCATTTACAAAGTCTGCACAGAATCAAGAAAATAACTTACCATTCTCAATGGAAACTTTCAGAATCCGTATTTTACCGTCACGACATTTGGCAAACAACTTTTTGAGCGCATCATTCGCTGAAATAAACAAATCATTGTCACATCGTTTTAACACCATCACGAAAGTGAGGTTAATGATCGATTTAAATTAGCAAAAATTTCAAAAAGGTTGCTAAATGAAACTAATGTTACGATACAACGATCAACACCTTTGATTCCAGTCTGGTGTGACATGGTTCGTTAGTGATTTGAGGTTCGTTGAAAATATGGTAGAAATCTGGTCGTACAATCACACCGTTCCCTCGAGATTATCGAGATCCACCACCACAAACAGAGCGTGTAAATGACTAGAACGTGCGATGAAAAAAAATATCCAACGGAATCCGAAATCAAGAGAGACCGCTGATTCAACTTATTTAGAGAATTTTTCATGGGGTTCCTAGCAACAAAGGATCGCATATCACGCCAGTGAATGCTGACGAATGTTCTGTCAAGAATGCCTTAACGCAGTTCCAGTTTGTGATTTTTCTGAATAAACGACAAAGAGGAAGGGCAAGGGAGGGGAAAGAAAGAGAAAGAGAGAGAGAGAGAGAGAGAGAGAGAGAGACAGCAGGCAGACAGACAGACAAGGATAGATAATTACATCTAAATCACGAAACGTCGACTACCCGATAATAAAATACAAAATAAAAATCTAAATAATTTTCTAACGCCATTCTTGGTTTTTATTAAATTTTCTAACAAATATTAAAAAAAACATTTATTTCGATCATTTGTACATACTTGATTATCTTTTTGAATTAAAATTCCTATAATATCGTTCGCGTTCAAAACGCACACCGCATTTCGTGTGTTCCATGAGTTTCTTGAGATGGCGTGCTAGTACTGTCAGATGTGTGTTATGATTATTTCGATGTATTAAAAAATACGTATAATTTGATAGGTTTCACTTATATCTTAAAGTTAATCGTATCAATACCTTGTTAAAACGAAAGAAATTGTAAATTTATCGGAGCTTCGGATAGTATTGTTATGGAAACCGAGACACGGTCAGATTTATACGAAGAGTGGAAAAGACGGGTAAATAGTGCAACTTTTACCGCAAATGTTGCAATTCATTTTGGAATAAATCAAAATGATGACAGTGTAATAATGCAATTTATTATTGACGGTAGAGCAAAATAGTAAAATACATATGAGTGCTTGTAATTTGTTAAATTAGCGTTAATTGTTAAACTAATAAATATTAATTTTTAATGACTCATCGATGGAGTTGTTAAGTAGCGCTAAATTTATTTTTTCGCTTCAATGCAATTTTATTTGGTGATAATTATTGTAAACTTTTAAATTAGAAATAATATTACAGGCATTCCTTGGCCCACTTCCTCAAGGGTTCCTACGATTAGAAGAGCGCAATGCTCAACAACAACAGGAGGCAGCAGATCAACAAGCAGCTCTAGCGCTGCACCAGTTGCAAATGCAAAATATGCCAGCAATGCATGAAGCTCATGTTGGTAGACTTAGTGTAACAATTGTTCAGGTAATTTTATGATTTTAGGATATGTCTATATGAGTCAATTAAGTTGTCTTGTGCATGTTACATTAAAAGATACTTCTTGCAGGCAAGACTAGTGAAAAACTATGGAATGACAAGGATGGACCCATATGTGAGATTAAGAGTAGGTCATGCAGTATATGAAACACATACATGTTCAAATGGAGCAAGAAATCCACATTGGAACAAAGTTATTCAATCGTATGTATTTTGAATAACTTGTACCTTTAGATCTACTTATTGTATTATTTTTCTTTTATTATGCAGCTATTTGCCACCAGGAGTGACACAAATATATGTGGAAATTTATGATGAATGTTCTTTTGTAATGGATGAATTAATTGCATGGGGTCACATAGAAATTCCACCACAAGTTCTCCAAAAAGGAGAGACTCACGAAGATTGGTATATACTTAGTGGAAAACAAGGGGAGAATCAAGAGGGAATGATAAATTTAGTGTTTAGTTATACGGTAAAAATGGTTAATATATGATATATCATAGAAAAATATTCTAGTTATCAGTAATGGTCAATTAACATTTTATTCTATACCTTTTCAATAGACTAAATGCCATCCATATATGAGTGCACCTCCAGTTATGATGGTTCCTTCTTCAACAATGTTTGGTATGACACAATATGCACCAGTAAATGTTTATACAGCACCACCTACGGCTGTAGTGCCACCTGTTGTTCCCAGTACTCTGCCAAATGCAGAAGTTGAATTAAAACAGGTAATATATGAAAATAATATTTTTTAGTGTTATTAATTGTTGTAATAAATATTTTTTACAGATTTCTGAAATGTTCCCGAACATGGACAAAGACGTAATTAAATCAGTTTACGACGCAAACCACGGGAAAAAGGATATAACTATAAATTCATTGCTCCAAATGTGTGAATAAGTAACTTTCTATGCGAATCGCTATGTAATTCCAAAGGCCATATTTGTATTTTCTGCTATGCTGTATTCCTTTTAAAATGTAATATATTTGCAAATTATTGCCATGCATTTTATGGTATTTTAACGTCAAGTGACTTTAAAATAAGACAAAAATCATAGAACATATTAGGCGGGGAAAAATATTTTCTAAGAAAAAAAAGTATCTCTCTTGATGTAACATTATATGTATATATACCTACAGCCGGGGACAGAAATATGTAGACACCTTTCAAAGAATAACTTTTTTTAGAATTGGACCAAACGACTTGAGTTTTGTTAGGAAGTTAGAAGGATTTACTACATGACGTGTAAACAAATTTTTTTTAAATTGCAATTAATCGAAATCGCCAAGAAAATAACGATGGTCGCTTTTTATAACTTTTTTATCCGAGCCCGTAATGAATACTTAAAAAATACGTTTTGTATATTTATACCAGGTATATACATGTTAAAAATTTCGTCGAAATCGGTTGATGCAGAAACAAGCAATAGGTATCGAAAGATGTAAGAATCTTTAGATTTATTACAATTATAGGCCGAAAGTCGCGAAAAACTGCAATTTTCACCATCTTTAACCGTTTGTAGCTTGTAGCAACGTGAACATATGATGTCTATATTTATTTGACCTTGCGATGACCTTGAAAAGTTTTATGAAGGTTACGTTTAAATTTTTAAATAGAAGTCTATAATTTTTGTTACATATTCTCGTAGCTGACGTCAAAACTTTTTCAACACACTACCTACACGTGCATTTTGCACTAGCCAATGTTGAGCCATGGCTTATAATATATATAATATATGTAACATCAAAAGGGACTTTTTTTTCTTAGAAAAAAGAAAATATATACATATATATATATATATATGCATCGGTCGTCGTCGTCCATTCATTGATCCTTTTTACATCTTTGTTTTATATATATACAACAATAAGTAAAAGATTGAAAAGATTTAATTTTCTATATTTACATAGAATATTCTATTTTAGGTGTATAAAAAATATGTCGATATACAAAAATAAACACGTAAATTAACAAAACTTTTATGTTTAGGATCATAAATGGCAAATGGGCGAAAAAATTGTATTTATACAGGTTTAAGCAAAACATATATCGTAAAACACTAAAAATATTTGATTAAAATAAACTGGAATGACGTCTATATTGTTTCAGCTATACAGTTAAAAAACTGTTTGTAACTTTTCTATCGAATATAAAATACATTAATAATAAAGCTATAAATTGTTAAATACCTCAATAAATGATTAAAAATTATTTTTCCTTACCTTCACCTACCAATTAATACAAATTTTTAAACAATACACCTACATCACTTGTAGTGTCAGTCCTTTCAAGATTTAATTAAAAATATTCTTTGCTTTTTGTATTCCTAGACACTCTTAGTTGTTGCGTGATCCCCATCCCCAATAGTATTTTGTATTAATAACTTAGAATTTTTAAAAGAATGTTTAATTGCATCACAAACTAACTCGACCACATATAAAAATATGTATTTTGCCAATGAGGCAGATATTTTTTTATCGGCTCTGTTAAAAATCTAGCTAAGGGTACTTTAGTGGACAGCGCGGTAAGAATTGCATATATCCTAATGCGGCTGTATTTATCGTAAAATGGAGACTTTAATATGTACAAAATCAAAGCTAATCTTCGTCTAAAGAATTCTTTTTCTTCTTCTTTGCTAAACGACATACTTCTCGCTTCTTTGTTAATCATTTTTAAACTGCAAAAAGAATTGAGTTTTTATATGAATATTATAGCATTCAACTTTTTTCTATTGCACTATTAATAACAAGTTATTCACCTAAATATATCAACAACAATTGATAATAGCCATGGTGGCCAATGCTTCTGACCAGTGAAGGATATACATCCCAAATGAAACAGTGGTTTCATAATATAGAGAGTCTAAAAATAAATACAATATATTAAGAAATAAGTATTTTTCTGTGACTGTTATATTTAATTAAACTGAAACATATTTTTACCTCTGCTAACATTAGATTCTTTTCTGATGCAGAAGATCTATTCAAATTATCATTATTGCTCATGTTAGAAGGTAACGGTTCAAATGTACGCATAAATAACGAATTGACACCTCTGATACTTCTAACAACAGTGCCAGATCTTTTTAAGGTAAATCCTTCTTTTAATTTCTCATTATTGGAGTCATTCAACTTTTCTCTATTAATTGGCTGTATTGGAGGACATTTTGTTACCCGTTCTTTATACAGATGAACTAACAAAAGTCTTAACACAGTCCTAGAAGAAATTAATCCATATGCATGTCAATAATAAGAACAGAATCTTTACAATACGCTTTTTGTAGATACACTGGAACAAATATTGTATGACTTACTTAAATATTTGTATAACAGTTATTATAAACCACTTGCCACTGTGACCCCATAATTTTTTGGCAGAAATCTCAAATAAAGCTTCTGTGTATTCCACCACAGTCAGCCAAATTTTGATTTTTGATTCAAACTGGGGAAATTTAAAGTGCACACATTTCCCACTGCACATTAAGAAATCGTTAAATAGTACAACCAGATTTGACAGAGAGTACAGTAGCTCTGACACAAAAATGGAATTGCTGAATTGACCTGGAAGTAATTTGCTTATTGAAAATGAAAAGCAGGTTGTATTTGTAATAAATTTTACTTTCAATTCTATTTACATTTAAAATCTCAACACCTCTTTTTACATTTAAAAGCAATGAATAGTTAACAATTTAGCGTATGTAGCTACTAAAAAGATTATAATTAAAAAAGAAAATTGTTTTCAAACCAGCTGTGAAGTAAGGTAGACACTGAACCGTATTTTCCAATTCTGATAATAATTGTGGATTCTCTATAATCCATTTTCTATACGGTTCGAGCATTTTTAACATAGAAGTATTAAATTTATCAAACAGCATCCTGTTCCTTTAATAATCTAATGAAACCTCCAACGAGTAATCAATCGTAATCAACCATGCAGTATTAACATGTAACCTCTTGCGTTCATCGAAGATTATTGGCTCATTCCCATGGAACAATATGAAAGATTAATTTCATATTTATTTAAAAATTATGTTAAAATTTTTATTTATTTATAAAAGAAAGAATATTAAAAAAT